TTTGGAACATTCAACGATTAGTATCTCTTGGAAAGTGGCCCAATCATGGTGGAGTAGTGTAGGCTGGCTGCCTGGGGAAACGAATGCATTGGGAATCACGGGAGCCTAGACAACTTTGGATTGGCATTTGGATTTGGCTACATCATCTAACCATGCCGCTGAAATGGGAGACGGTCACTTATGTAGAAAAGACAACACTAGAACCAACATGAGCAGAACCTTTTCTCGATGTTCCCCCACGGCCCCTTCCTTTAAAAACCTCAAATCAATTTTAATGGTTGGCCGATGAGTGAATAATGATGCCTCCTCCAGCCCTCACCCCTTAATGGGCCAAGTAGGGTACCAAAGGATGGGACTAGGACCGGATCCAGATCGTACTAAATTATTGGCCGGGTTCAAGTTGGAATTTGGGAACCCATTTCGCGTTCAATATGGATATGGGTACTGGCACCGTGGACTGTGGACCATCATTCAATTCAAGTGGTCCTCGAAGAAGCAGTTGACAGTTAGCAGCTCTCTTCTAAAAAATTAAAATCATGATGAGAGGCTCATCCCCGCATCATCACGAGTCATGATTCATGAGGACGGATTCCTCGTGATTGAAGCCCTAACAGGCCACAACCACAACAATTTATCTGAACCCGATAGAAGGTGTGAGGCTGTTAGCCCAGCCCACCGTTAAGCAGTGGTTTCAACTTTTAATGGGGGATGCGGGATGCCCACACTGTACGAGTCATCCAGACCCAGCTAGGCAGCCATGACTCATGAGCTGCTGCTTCTCAGGCTCAGATGCGACGTGACCCATGTAAATGTAATTCGGACCTAGGACCACACCATTACATTAAATGGATTCTTGATATTTACTTTTGACCGTTATTAATATATATATAAATATATCCATATCAATTTGTTGCTGCGAAAAGATGGCTATTAAATAATCCACTTGTTGCCCGAGTTCTCAGTCAAAGTAAGTGAGAAAGGCCCAGGATACAAGATGGGTATGTAGGTTTTGAGAAGATCCAATGGTTATTGTGCTCTCGAAATTCATATTCGTTAAAACCTTATCATATTGCATATTGGTGTAAGGAATTGGAATGCATCCATTGAACTAGCAGTTGTGGCCCGATTGTAATTGGGCCGAACGTGGATTTACTTCCTACCTGGACCAAAATGATTTAAATATATTATATATTATATTTATTAATAAAATTAGTCTTAATTTTGTACTTTTACTGAAAAGTCATAGGTTTAAGTTTCATATAATTTTTTTTTTAATTTATTTTGTTTTTGTATACAATATCAAGATCTTTATTTTATTAATAATTTCTAATATTTTGATCGTTTTAATTAAATATATTAGTTCTATTCAATATCCAATTTCAATTTCATTGTATAAAATTCAACTTGAATTTCAATATTGATGAATTAAATTTGGATTTAGGTATATTGGATTTCTTCTTTCTTTTTCCTTTTCGGTTCCATTAGGCTAACTCATAACCCCCCACTAGGGATGTTTACATTAAATGTCAAACTGACTAAACCGACCAAATCAGTCCGACCCAATCCGAGTTGGTCGGTTTTTCAAAATCACTGGTCAGTTTCGATTTGTATGAAAAAATAAATCGACAACGTGTTTCGGTTTCGTTTTTCATGTACAAAAACTGAAGCCAAACCGAACCAAACCAATCCTATATTTTTAAGTAATCATTAATTCTTATATATTAAATGTTCATATATTTTATTTGTGTTTTGTTTGAACTTTAAAAAAATTGGTTATTTTTGATAAAAACTAAAAACATAAAACCAATACAAATATAATAAAATGGTACAATATTTAATTCAGTTTTGTATAAATTCAAATATATATTGATAAAAAAATCAGTTTTGCACAAAAAGTTAATCAATTTAAATATATATGTTGGTTTTGCATAAAATTAAAAAGAAATAAACTTAAATATAAATAGATATTTAGATATAGATATTTTAGTTTAAAATATATATGAAAACTGACTAAACCGATAAATCAACCCTTCTTATTTGGGTCGGTTTTGCTTTAGGGTCAGTCAGTTTTGATTTAGTCAATGAATAAACCAATTAGGTTGGGTCAATTTTGCTTCAGGGTCAGTTAGTTTCAATTTAGTTAACAAATAAATCAACTAGGTCAGGTCGGTTAAAAAAATGACTCAAACCGATCCAACTTCGACCCATAAACACCCCTACCCCCACCCACCCAACTCATAGCCCCTACAACTGTAGTGAAGGCGGGATTCAATTCCAACTCTGTGCTACAAGCAGCTAAAGACCTTATTAAGTAAGCTAGTTGGCACCTTCATATTGGATTCGACAAATTCATTTCGAGCCCCAAGTAAATGCAGTTGAAGAGGGAAGGGCCATTTTAGAAAGTACATGTAGAAAAGAGGAAACACATTGCAACTGTGTATTAGGTTTTGTAACCATCCGCAGGGCCACAATATCGGGTTAGTGGGGACGCATCTTGGAGATGGAAAATAACCCTAGTGGGGACCATGAAGATCTTGTTCTGAGATTGATTTAATATGGACCACTTTTTTAATATATAGGTGTCGGGGTTTTAATACAAAAAATGAAATTTAAGTTCAGTTTGGGAAGACTATAATTACAAATATATAACATACAAAACCTTATATTTTATATTATTTTATATTGTTAAATCTTATATTTACATATGATGAAGGGTGATTTGGCTCTCCAATAATATCGTACCACATGGCAATTTCGAATCACTTTATAATACCTCAACATGACATATAGCCGGACCTCGCCCGATTAAATTAGCCTAAGCCAGTCTCTATGAATTGGACCTCGACCAATGGAAGAGGTAGAGACCCCTCAGCAATAGTCTAGAACACACCACCTCGAAGGCATAAGTCGATGATTCAAGGCGATCGACTTGGGCAATTAACAACCTACATGGTTAGCTAATCTTTAGGGTACCAATCTACGTGACGTGTTCAATCTCATCCATTCTTCTTGCCTATCGGTTTCTAAGCACACGGCGACATATTGCCTATTTAGCGGTTATGAACCTGATTTCATCCGCTTTGCAAAAAGCCGGATGAGGATCATCGCGATGCCAATACGGTGTGCCTCGAAGATAATGAGCTGATAAGGCTCATTGTTCCGCTATATCTGGAATACACCACTCGAACCACCAATACCAACATAAAAGGACCTTCAAACCTTTCACAAGGGTACGTGTAAAATAGTATGCACATAAAGTCTCTCTCTCATTGCTCTCTACTCTCTCTGTCTTATAGATCCAGCTGCCAACCTCAGCGCACTCGCGTCCGAACTGTCTTCCGGTAAAAAATCAAAGCGGGATTGAGCCCCATCAACTCGTACATATTTACATTTACTCTTTCCAGATTGAGCCATACTTTAGATATCTTCATGTTGGCCACAAAACCCTATCTAAAAATCCTCCAACCCCTTTTGATCTTTGTTTCTGAATATATTGTTTTCCTTTATTATTTTATTTTTTGGATTTTGTAAAGATGGTGAGATTGTATGCACCCCGTAAGGTGGGCTACATGATACGGTTAATACCCTGTAACTTTCTTAGTTAATTAATAAAATTTAAAATAACCATCCTCCATCCAGAGTAAAATTAGAGATATAGAATAACATTAGGTGAACACACTGATTAAACATAACTCTAATTTACATTTGACAATTGGGCCAAAAGAAAGGAATACAACATATAGGTAGCAATGGAAGGAGGGAACTAACCTGTGTTTCGTTTGAAGGAAAAAGTAGAAACATCTTTACAGACCTTGTATAGATTTTTTATCTTTCCCTCCAAACCAAACATAGTCTAATGAATGATAATCTTTTTCTAATTCCAATAAGGGCATTTTATATTTTTATGACGCATCTAGCGGCACTTTGAATCCAATACATTTGAAATTTAAAAAAAAAATTAAATAGGTACTAAATAAACCTATTGAGCTGGGAATCCTTAATATCCAAACACACACAAGTTGAAATGAGCGAAAAACGAGATGCCTTCCCTCTTTTTCTTCTTCCCCACCTCCGGAAGCCTAGCAATGGTCGCTGCAAACATGTCCCTGCCTTTCCCTTTAAGTTTTAAAACAAACACAAAATTGAAAACATTTTCATAATTTTCGACTATTCGTATGGGGGTCATCTCTATTTCTGTCGCTGGTGTCTCAATTCCGTTCGTCGTTTCGAGGGGGATGGTTCTCAGCTCACGGTCTTTTTTATTTATAGCATGCGAAGGTCACGCTCTTCGAAAATAGCGTGGCGTGATCCATTACACGTGCGTAAATATTCATGCAAATCACACGTTTAATGGAACTTGACTGAAGACAAGTGCACAATAAGTTCAAATCAAACAAGTGGAGCAGATCCCGACTCGGTAAGAGTGCGTATAGTTGGACTTTTACGGCAAGAATGGGTCTTAACTCTCAACCTGTCTTCACCTTTCACTCCCGATTCCGGCCCGACACGTTAATGGCGTATCCTTCGACGTTACACTGCGCTCAGGGAAGCCACGTACCTTCTCATTCTCCTGTGACTCCTGTCCTACCATAACATCTTGCGCGCCATTTTTTAGGGATAAGTCGATTTGGTTTAATTGCTAATTCGTTTATTTATCTTTTCCGTTCCCACGTTGACCGTAGAAGAATGCCACCAGTTAGTACACGGATATTTTACATTTTAAGAATTAAGACTATAATAAAAAAATAGTAAAAGAAAAAATAAATTTTGATTTCTCGAGGAAATTATTGATATTTTATTTTTTAACTGCCAACCACAAAAGAAACAGTGATAAACTCTCCGCCCAAAACGGGAACGGAAATTCAACCCTCTCCCACACTCCCTACGTCCCTATCCTAGTCGTCCATTTCAAAGTTCGGTTTTGTCTTTTTTCGTCACTACATAAATCGATGAAATAAAAAAAAAAAGAAAGACCTTTCATTTGTTCTCTTTTTTTTCCCTTACTTTTCATCTTGTTTTCCTTTTTGTTTTGGTGGAATTGGGAGATAAACTGTCGTGTACGTGATGGGGCAGCAGTGATTTGGTTTCGGGAGAGTATCACACACTCTCGTAGACTGTTTTCTTTTCTTTTCAATCCATGGTGCTGCTGATGTCGTTCCCTGGATGAGTTATGCTGTTGTACCAGATTATTTATCAGGAATTCAGCACTGCTGTATCTGTGAAAGCTGGAATGCATTATCGTTGCAGAAATCGCTCAACTTTCGCCGCTTGATGTCTCTCTCCGCTGTTTTTATAGTAGGAGTGGCGATGGAGATGGAGGAGCCGGTCTTCTCGCTTTCCGAGCTCGAGTAGTATTGGTCAAGCACGTTGACTGGCGTGTCCGAGCTCGAAACCATATCAAATACCGACTCGTAGCCATCAATCACTATATCTTGCATCATTCTGCAACAATCGAACAGGTTCTCCTGTAACCAAGGGAAAATAACAAAATGGATTTTAAGAGGAGTTATAAAGAACACATCTCGTTTGTCCTTTTTTTTAAGGAGAAGAATAAAATGGGAAAGTGCTTACTTTATTTACGTATACACAAGAGGAAATCTCTTTTTTAAAGCAAGGGAATTGCAAGGGAAAGAACTCGTGGGAAGCAGAGAGAACTGCCGCTGCTGCAACTATCGATGGCTTGAACTCTAAAAGTTTGATCTCTGTATAAGCAATAGGAGAGATTGTAATGATCCAATTGAGAATTACTCCGACGTACAATTACGAAAGAAATATTTCTATATGCAATAACGTTATTTTGATTTACCGTTTTGAGCTTTAAAGATAATCTCTGTTGCTCTAGTTTTCAGATCATGTATCAGAGGCGGTTCTTTGATTTTGAATAGAGAAAGGAAGTAACAAATAAAGGAGAAGGGCGTTATCGAGCGCATTCTCCACTTGAGAGCTCCGAGTATCAGGAGCTCCATTCGCTGTATTGTTTGCGTGTCGAAGATGAATCCTTCTTCCCTCTGTTTCACAAATCGGTGACTTCTTTTAATACTGATAGCATTTAGTAAATGTATAGAGTTTGATTCGATTAATGAACGGAATAAAATGACAAATAGGACAAAGATAGAAAGAAGGAAATAAGAAACAAAGTGTATTCTTTTACCTGGAAATCAGTCAGGGAGAACTCTGTTTTCTTCATTTTCGCTGCAAGGGAAAGGCAAGACATTGCGACAAGCCTCAGGATCCACGGCTTTCCTTTCTGCAACATCAAGATCGCTTAGATCTTCAGTGGATCGAACCGATGACGAGTGAAAATGCTTTATGAGTGACCACAGCATAAATAACAGAAGAGGGAGAAAAATAAGATACACTAGAAACTTGACGAACTTATCTTTTACTTACCGGCATTCCTTGTCCGGAGATGAATCGATCGAGATAATTGATAGCGAGATATGTTATGAACGGATCAAAGTTGCTGGAGAATTGAGCCTGAAAGAAAAGAAGAAAAATATCCTATTTCACAGAATGAATAACAAGAAAAATGTCTCTTCTTTAGCGTTTCCTACCTGTAGGATCAAAGAAATAATCTCTCGTCGGACCGAGATATCAAAATCTCTGGTTTTGAAGCTCCGGAAGTAGTTCTCACAAGGCATATGATCTGATTCTGCAGCAAAAAGCGCCGGAATGGTATCGGCCTGGTGTTCTTCCAAGCTCGTTAATGGATTCTCAAGATCAAACTCGTCCATATATAGATTCTGTTACTTACAGTTATCCGGTTCAGAAGCTTTGACGAAAGAAGACAAGATCAGTCATTGGCTATAGAGAGACACTTCAATCTTCTCTTCTCAAAAGAAACTCAAGCGTCGAACCTATCTTTCCTCTCTCACTCTATTCCCTCTCTAACACCCTTTTATCATCATCATCATCATCAGATTCATCTCCCTCTCTCTCTCCAAGGGTGCTCTCCGTGAAGGAAAGTCGAAAGTGAAGAATTTATATCGTCCTTCACTCTCTGTCTAATACTTTCTTCCTTTTTCTTTTTGAGATGTCGGAGAACAGCTATAGTCGTCTCTGTCAATGCAATGGATACGAGAAATTTTGCCCCACAATTTCTCGGAACATTGTACGTCTCGAGGGAAATCAAAATTCTATATTAACAATTAAAATTATATTTATCGGAATCTAAATTCCAAACCTGTTGTTATGTCCATTGAAATTTTACAAATTAAATGATAAATGATTGGTGTTTAATTTCTCTCTCCTATCTAAGCTTGGTCAAAATCTCCCGAGATTATTTTCTATTTTGTTCTGCGTGGAGCATTTAAGTATGAAAATACACGTGTACTACAAACAGTGGTTGAGACGGTCCTATCTCCGTTGGCTTCCTTCCCTTGATCTCTAGCTAGGACCTTCGGTGATTAAAACCTAGATAGCTCACCCACAGCCATAAGTGTTGGATCCGATTCCGAACTTTTATTTTCTTGTATCTGGGGATGTATCTACCAAATGTCGGAGGGTCAAACTTCGGACCGTAGATCTGGCATACGAAAGCCATTCTCATGGAATCTTCTATATAATGTAAGTAGCGGTTGAAGATGGATTAGAATCGTAGGTGTGGGCCTCTTCAATAATCCTACCATATGTAAAATAATTGTTCATTTTTAACCATATATATCATTGGGAAAATGGGAAAAGAAGTACGATAAAGCCGTTGGTTGGGCGTGAAATCGACTGAATTACGAATTGACTAGCCGAGTCAAAGTACAATCTGGACACGCAGAATCGTTTCAAGTAACGACACAACCGGTCGTTGTACACGATCTGTTACTGTTAATCCTCTGAATAACGAATCGTCTTTCTGTAATCTCACGATCTTATTACTATATTATCAGAGAGTTATGATCGAAATAAGAGGGATTACGCTTTCTGTGGATGGAGATGGAGCGCCACAAAAGTCAAGGTTGCCATTCATTACTATTAACTGGAAGTCTGGAGGTAATACATCTACATGCATCGAGTCTAATGAAAATGAGATTTGTTTTTGTTCTTCCCTATGTACTTATGTAATAGTATAGGCGGAGGTGGTATTCTGTAATTTAGGTATAAAAAACAAGGGTGTTTTAGTGAAACAATAGGGGATTAATACCAGATACTAGATATATTATGTATGGACTATGGAGTATTGGAGTTGCGTCTACGTTGTCCCTCTTCTACAAGACTACAAAGGATGGCTGTGTGATGAGGCTGCCAGCCAGAGATTAAAGAGAGAGTCTTGATATTTACTTATTTAGTTACGAGTTCAGCTTTGAGCAAAGCGGATCCGTTAAATTTAGAGGAAAAGCCACTGAAATCCAGCGGCCCAAATATACACATTGTGGGGGAGACATTGTTACGCCACAAAGGTCACTGATTTTTGAGCTGGAGAGAAATGAAGAATGCAATATGCCCTTGTTTCTTTTAGGTGAGTGAGGCCCAGCGCGCTCTCACACTGTCAGAAACATCACATTCACATGGGAGCAGGTGGTACCCCATTCCTCAGCTTCCCCCTTTCCCCTCTCCCAAACCCAGAACCCAGTTTAGCTCAATTAAATGCCCAGATTTATAACACGCTTTTATCTCAAGCTTCTTTTTCAAACAAAGACTTTTTTTTTTTTTTAATTATTGGTAGTAGATGCAGGTGACACGTGATCTTCCTTAAGTCGTAAACTTGTAATTGAGTAGTTAATTATGATTAAAAGTTTCCATGCTAAAGTCGATTTCATCATAGCGTTATTATATTATTATCAATTGGGTATGGGCTTGGTAGACCAGCAGAAAGGGCTCCACATGTTTGCCTCTCTTTATATTTGGGCTCAATATTGAGCCTAAAGGAACAAAAGAAGCCCCCTCTGGTTTTTCATACACAAAATTAAATAGCTTTGATTTCAGTGACTCAAATCAATTATGAAAATTCCATATGACATGGTCAACTAATTCAAATAAAATGGTCTGACTGGCAATTATATAATCCATTCGGCTAGATAAAACAGGAATGGTTCTACCTATAAAGTTTGGAGTTAAAAATAAATAAATAAAACAGGAATGGTCACCCAATCCACTACACCAAATGTATTGATCCTTAGGCTTAGTTTGGAAGGAGTATAAATACAAATTTGTAGTGTAAAATCTTATATTATATATTTACAATGTACATATTTATATTTGTACCCTTCTAAACTGAGTTCAGTTTGGAAGGAGTACAAATATAAATATATATAAGTGTAAAACTTTATATTTTGCATTATTTTGTATGTATTTGCACAATATATATTAATATCATTTAGGCTGAGTTTGGAAGCAGTACAAATGCAAATATATAGAGTGTAAAGCCTTATATTTTGTATTATTTTATATATATTTATGCTATACATATTTGCATTTGTACTCTTTCCAAACAGTGACTGAAGAGCATTTTTTCATAAGCATTCAAAATCATTCACATAGAGGCTAGAGCGCTATTTAATGGTCTATAAGAGTTGAAAATTGTGAAAATTTGCATTTTTTGTAATAGTTTCCCAAAATCTCTCTCTCTCTAAAAAAAAACCCTCAAGACAACTTTGAGAATCGTGACAATTCAATCCCATCATCCACATTCAATAGTAAAGACTTTGGTTCACCGTAGTCTAGGCCTCTGGGGACCAGTTTATGAATTCTGTTAATTATGAAATGAAAGGACAGCTTAAGTCTAAGGATTCATAACGATATAAGGCATTGGTCTTATTTTTTTTATTTTTTGGTAATATGCCTCATGATCATAAAATCTAGATTCAATTTACTGTATTTGTTTATGAAATATAAAGCAAATGGGTAAAGTTATATCCATGATTTTTCTTTTTATTTATTTTTTCAATATTTATACAAGCAATCTTTAGTAGACGTGTAAATCGGGCTGTGCTGCTTGTAGCTGGCACAAATTTGGACAGGCCTGGCACAGCTTGGCATGACGGTCCGTGGACCATGGCAGGTCTAGTACGATTATATGGACCGTGTTGGGCCTAAGTTTTAGGTCCACGGGCCGGGCCAACATGGCAAGATCGAGCGGGCCATTCCACCCATAGCCCTGCCTGACACGACCCATATATATTATTTATATATTTTATATAATATATAATATATTATATAATTATATAATTATATAATAATATAATATATATTATATTAATAAAATAACAATTGTTTTCAATTTTATTATACTAATTTATTTAATTATTGTATATATAAGCAATTGTATACATCAAAATTCATATAAAATTAAAATTAAATTTTTTTTTTTAATTTTTTAGAATAATAGCTTTGGCCCGGTCCATAGCCAGGCTTGGCCCATAAACCAATTCAACTGACGGCATGACACGGCATGGATCCACAAGAACTTGGGCTGTGATTCATATCGGACTGACCCCCAAATTATCGCAGGAAAAGGTGGAATGCCTGAAATGGTCTGCAGGCCGACACAGCACAGCCGCCCACAGGCTGTAGTGTGCTGGCCCGGCCGTTTTACACCTCTAATCTATCTTTAGGTGAAAGATTCCCTAAAATGAGGCTAGTTCAAACATAAAGATACTCTAAAGTCTAGACTTGCTATACATATCCTGTATGTAATAATACACCAATTCAAGCGGTAATCTTTGTCAAGGTACAGCGCCTTGATTTTGGGAGGTTCTATGACCTTCACAGTAATCTGGGGATCTAAATTGTTAATGCGTCTATTTTATAGAGATAGATTTACTAGTCTGATACGGGTTCTACATGAATTTTATGTAAGAATAAAATAACCAAACTGAATCAATTTGAAGCCATCTCGGTTTCTAAAATAGCACTACCCTAACCCTTGGTTGATATAATGTGTGCGATCAATTGAAAAGTGAATCAATTCACGTTGAAGAATACACTTAAGTTTTTCTTGTTTATTCATGACATTATTGAAATCAAAATCAATTTTAATTGTCTCTAGATGAGCTACAAATAAAGGCGTATGCAATAGATTACTAATCAAGAGTGAATATATTAGTGTTCTATGCATATGAGACTAGTAAATTTGGCAAAAAGTTGACCCAACTAAAAGCTTAGCAATCCGAATTAGAAGGCTACCCAACCCCGAAGAATTCGTGTTGGGTCAGGTTGTGTGTCACCGCAGGTCACCTTTTTTTAAACCAATGTTTTCAAATTGGCATTGGCTCGGATGGTTAAACTCTTTTGTTTTTTTTTTTTAACTTGATCAAAGATCAATTTACTTAAACAGATGAACCATTAAGTCATTTGGCCCAAGTCAATCAAAGATCAATTGATTTAAACAGAGTCAAAATTTAGGGTCATCCAAAACTTAGCCCAACCCAAAATTGTCTTGACCTGACCCAACCTAACCTGAGTGTTCTGCACTACATGTAAGTGCAGAGATCAGATCAAGACCCCACAGAGGGCACTCCCACAACATTTTTCACCCGTGTATTGGAAACATCTCCTCATGATAAGTACAAGAGATATTCTCAATATATGGTAGATATGCATGTAAGGCGTTTGTGGATTGCCTAGGGGTGGATTCGAATTAAGTCGAACCGAATAACTAACTATTCAAGCTCAATTCACCAAAAAAGTATGAGACTCGAGCTCGACTGTGAGTTAAATATTTTATAAAAATAAAAAATTATAATTATTAGTTATTATATATAAATAAAAATATTATATATATGCCGAATTTAAATAGCTTATAAAAAACTCAGATGGTGGCGACCCCTAAGTGCACATATGTGTGTGGGTCCAAGTGTATGAAACACTCGCATGTTTACCCCCGACTACTGGTTACCTAGACTCTTGTACATTCCTTTGTTTATAGCTCATGGTTGGTCAAAATCTTAATAATGTGCACAAAGCCACAAATCACGAGTAATATATATATAAGTATCACCTGATCCCCTACTAATCTACGGGTCCTATGACTCCTATCAAGCTAAATATAATCCAACAATTCTATTGGATATGTAGTT